GGTAAGCCCTGAAAACCAAAGACCAAAGAAGATGAGGCAAGATGGATCTGGACGTACTGTTTTCCAGTTTGTCCCTTTTTCTTCTGCATGAATGTTCAGTATTTGTAGTTTGCAGAAATAACACATAGCATGGCGCAAAGCTCAAAAGACCCAAAGTAGTTCCATGGAGAAAAGAGTCTCCCTCCTTCCCTCTTCCCTGGCTACCCAGTTCCACTTGTCCACAGGGACAACTATGCTCAGCTGGTTCATGGAAGGCCCGAAAGCCTAGTCTGTGTCCAATTTTAATTGTTTTGGTAAATGCCCCAGTAAATATATTATTTACTTCTATAGATGTTTAAAAGATATCAGTCCATGTCACATGAGGAAGAGTTGCGATCTTGAGTAAGACTGGATTCATTCTCTGCTCCTGAATGGATAAAGAGCTCACCACCTCACTGTGTCTTGGTGAGGCTTGTCTTCAAGGATCAACAACGGTAAATTGGTTTCAAAGGGAGTAAAAAACTGGCACCACTAGGAAGAATGTGGGTGTCTGATGTGTTCTGTTGTTTTGATACCTGGGTTCCTTTTGGTTTTTCAATTAGAATTTTAAGATGTGCCTTCAGCTTTCCATAGGTCCTACTTCTTACAATTCACATATTGATGTCGCCTGCCTATCCCTTTCAGTGGGTATATTTTCTTCCTTCTGGTACAACCATTTAAGCAATGTTTCATTCTCAAAAGAAATGTTATTTCACCACTAAAATGATGACAGATGTGTATTAACAGCATGGGAAGACGTTTCTGACATTGTTTGTTTTATAAAGGTATGTATAGGGGCTACCCAAAACAACCAGACTTGCTCTGGTCGTAGAGGAGCTTTCTTAGTACCCATTTTTCCCACTAGGTGAGCATCTAGCAACTTGTTCTGAGTTAGTGCACCCAGTGGCATCACCTGGGAAGGTTCCTTCTGGTCACAGTGAATTTTTTCATAAAAGCGGGGTGGGGGGTGGGGGGGTGGGGGTGTCAGATGCGCAGGCATTCCCTCCCCTGAAAGCAATCAGTTGCCAGACTGCTGTCTCATCCCTCCACAGGGGTGGGCCTGCTCCCTGCCTCTGGGGACAATGGACAGGCACCTGTAGGAGGAGTTCGCATCCTACTGATAATGGTCTCTATCAGTTGGGCCAGGGACAGGCCAAACTGGCTGTCCCTCTTCCTATTGCATGTATACCCCTAGACCACCCCCTCATTACTGTGTAACCTATAGTGCAGCCCCTCCTGTTATGTATGTCTCTACCTGTAATTAGTGGGCTGGCATGCCCCAAAAGGTATATAGGTGTGAGTCAGCAACATAGAGCACTCTGACTCTGAGCTCCTTGCTGCTCACTCCCTGGTCACTCCCCTCTCCCTTGTTCCCTTGTCCTTCCTTCCCTTCCCCCTCTCCACATGAATTACCAAGCGGGGCTGAGGTGAGCAATGCTACCATGTAAAATGTATCTGACTCCATTTATTTCTATATATCTCTTTTATCTCTCATGCTCTCTATAACTTTACTATAATATTTACTTATTATCGCTGTACAATTGTGCCTACCGAACCCGTAGTGATTGTGCTAGGAGCTGGGAGCTGACTTCTTCTGGCAAAAGCGGTTTCGCTCAAACCTTGTTTTTTGTGATGGCTGATTTAAAAGAACAATGTGTGGCTATGATATTTTGTTTCCTGCTCAGGAAAAATGCTACAGAAACTTGTGATGTTGACCACAACTTACAAGGACAGCACTGTGGGAAAAATTCAAGTATGAGTGGTTTTCTCATTTCCAAAAAAGGTGAAATGTTGATGTCTGTCAATTTCCCAAATGGACAAAACTGTCACCATATAGTGCATTTGGAATTTGTTCTACCAGGTCAGACTGTTAATCAAGCTTTCTATTTAGAGGTTCTGAAAAGATTGCATAACAGTGTGTGACAAAAAAAGCCTGATTTGTCACAGATGGGGGACTGGTTTTGCCACCACCACAATGCGTCTGCTCATGCAGCCATCTCAGTGCACCAGTTTTTGGCAAAAAACAATATGCCTCTCTTAGCCCATGCACCTGACTCACCTGACCTCGCTCCACTCCATACGACTTCTTTTTGTTTCTGTGAACACAGAGGGACCATGAAAGAACAGCGATCTGAATGTAGAAGAGGAGAAGGAAAAATCGAGGGAGGTGCTGTCAGCCATCCAAACAAATGAGTCTTAAAAAGGTTTCCAAGAAAGGAATCGCAGATTTGACAAATGTCAAATTTGTATTTAAGTGTAATGGAAAGTACTTTGAAGGTGATAAGGTTGTTTTATTAAAATATTTAAATATATAGCTTTGAAAAAAATATCTGTTTTTTAGAGGGGTACCTCTTATATGATCCCACAAACCTCTGGGAGCCAGACCTTGATGGGTCTGCCTTGTTTTTCTAGGTCTAGAGTTTTCTGCCTTGGACAGGGCAGTGTTACCACTATTCTGCTCATGTTCATCTGTGCATGTGAAATTTGGACATCGAATAAGGAAAACCAAAGAAGAACGGAGGCATTTGAATTGTGGGGCTAGAAAAGAATATTGAAACTACCGGGACTGCTAATAGGACAAACCAACCTGTCTAGGAGTGCTCCTTAAAGGCAAGGAGGATGAGACTTGGTCTTATATACTTTGGACATGTTGCCTGGAAAGACTAGTCCTTGGAGAAGGGCATCATACTTGGTGAAGCAGGGGGGGGGGAGGGCCTCAAGGAGATGGATTGACGTGTGGCTGCACCAATGGGCTCAGGCACAGGAACAATGGTGAGGATGGTGCAGGATCTGGGAGTGTGTCCTGCGGGTGGGAACCAATTCAATTACTCCTCACAATAATGGCAATTGCTCATTTAGTGGAGAATATTTCATTGTTCTGTTCTGACTGGTTTCCAGTTTCTGTGTTACACAGGTTCCAGCTTCCACAGGCTTGACTCTATGGACGTGTGTGTACACATACACCTGAGAGAACATGAATACCCAATATGAAAGGGTAACTGAAGATAAGACTATGGACATCCTATGTTTTTATCCTTTTCTTGTGTTATCTTTGAAAGCCAAGAAAGCTAATTAGTTGTTATTCAACAATTCATCCACATTTTAATTTGTGACACTGATTGCAATTCCCAGATGCTTTCACTTCCCTTCCGGTGTTTACTGTTCCCAGTCCTCCTCCTTTCTCCCAGCCTGAGCGGTATTCCTATGCAAATACTGTCCTTTCAGCTCCTGTGGCTTTAAAGTCCTGTCACAGGGATGCTGTAAGGCAGCAGTTCTCAACCTGTGGGTCCAGACCCCTGTGGGGGTCGAAGGACCCTTTCACAGGTGTTGCCGGATTCATCACTTTAGCAAAATGAGTGATGAAGTAGCAACGAAAACAATTTTATTGTTGGGGGGTCACCACCACATGAGGAACTGTATGAACGGGTCACGGCATCATGAAGGTTGAGAACTGCTGATTTAAGGGGTAACAAAGGGCCATAGGTTCAGATGTTCCCCAGTCTCTATCAGAGCAGGAAGCCTGCTCGTTCTTCTTGGTTTTGTTCCACATCCTCCCTCACTCTATGAAGAACTTCCTAATAGCGCTTTCAGAGCAGTCAGGGCAGTAATTGGGTACCATCTAGTTCTTCTGGGCCCTGGGTTATGGAGTCTGGCTCACAGGGCCCATTAGTCCTTGGGACTCATTGTTTCCATGTCTTTGATTTCCTTCTCTTTGCTCCTGACAGGGGCAAGATCAATAGGTGTACCTTCCACAGCCTCCCCAAAGCCCTTGCGACCTAATGCTCTAGTCACAATGCACCAAAGTAGAATGTCGGACCATGTCTTTGTAGACTCCATTATGCCAACTGACCTGGATGCCCCCAGGAATTATGGTCCTGAACCCCCAGACCCAGCAACTCATTCCCTTGAGGTGTTCCAACTATGGCTAGCTAATATTCAAAACTATACCCCCAGTATGCTCGATTATATTCATAGATATCGTTACAGCACATATAAATACAGATGTCGAAGTATCCTCTGCTCTGGCCTCTTTGACGGGAGCCCTGATGGCATAGTGGTTATGTATTGGGCTGTTAACCACAAAGTCAGTAGTTAGGAACCACACGTCTCTCCTGGGGAAAGAGAAGAGGCTTCCTACTCCTGTAAAGACCGTCTCGGCGACCCACTGGGGCAGTTCTACCCTGTCCTAAAGAGTCACTATGAGTTGGCATTGACTCGATGGCAGTGGGTTTGGTTTGGGTATGGACTCTTTATTTTATGTTTATGTTCCAATGTTCCTACAACAAACCTGTATTGCTTGTCTAATAAAATACCATGAAAGTTGGGAGAAAATGAACCTGACTCCCTCCTTGGCCTGTTAAATCCTAAAGGATTTCTCTGATGTTATTGAACTCTAGTCTTTCCTAAGGCCTGTCATACTGAAAATAAAAACATCGCAACATTGCCAAAGAAAAGCATTCGCTAGCTGAGCTGATGTTTTTAGTTGTGGCAATTGCTCCTCTCCAGTGCCCCCTGAATGCCACCACTAGGTGGCATTCCTCTGCTGGCCTTAGTCTCGTTCCATTCAGGCATCAAGGCCTTTGTTTGGGTCCCAAACATGACAGATTTGCCCAATGTGCCAAGCTGGTCCCCCTGGGACTCTCCAGGCTCAGGCCACTCACGTTTTCTTTTCCTTATATTACGCTGGTCAGAGCCAAGACGCTGGCCTGCTGAAGAAGAAAGTCAAGCTGGGCCCAGCTTTACCCCCAGGAGCAAGATTTATTGGTCAGAACAGTCAAGAAAGAACACATGCATCATCTCATCAACCCCTTTAGCCAATGCCGTAAGAGGGCACGGTCACTCCAGGAGCCCAAGCGGAAAGCGAATTTTGAGAATGATGAGGGCAACGAATGTATAAGTGTGCTTTACACAATTGATGTATGTATGGATTGTGATAAGAGTTGTATGAGCCCCTAATAAAATGATTAAAAAAAAAAAGAGGGCATGGTCACTATCATTTATTTGTCACTCTCAGCGAAAATTTTGGTCTTTCTGTATTTGATAAAGCTACACCTCCAAACCGTCTTTCTCCAGAGAGGCCTCTAACCACGGAAGACAGTATCTGAAGAGGGAAGGAGAGGTCCAGGCTGAGAGAGATTTCCAAGGAATAGCATCACCTTCCTGCCAACTCCCTCATGGCCTCTCCTTCAAAGCGGAAGGAGTGCCAGCCTTCGGCTTCAGTCAGATCTCGGGCTCCTAGAGTCTTGTAAAGGTCCATGGCCCTCTTGTTCCAGTCCACCACGGCCAGGCGGAGCTGGGTGCAGCCTTTAGCCAGGGCCACCTGTGGGAGAAGAAACCCACTCACTTTTCTGGGGGCAAAAAAGGAAAACGCTTTCTCATCTTTTTAAATCCGGGTGACCCTCTATACACCCTTACTTTTCCAAAGCCTAGGTTGTAACCCCCACCTTAGCCAGACCTTCACGGTCTTCCTCACCTGGGCCACTTTTTGGATTATTTTGGAACCAATTCCCTGACCTGTGGTGGAGGGAAAGGGTTGTCTGAGTGGAAAGTGATCAGAAAAGGCCATAGGCTGGGACTAGAGGCAGGGGTGGCAGTGGGGTGCATAGGTTGATTTGCTCCGGGCCCAGCCCATCTTTCCCAGTACCCCTATGTTCAGGCATCACGTAGATGTCCTCCAGGTACACATTGCGCCCCTTCCATGTGCTGTAGATGAAGTAGTATAGCCCATAGCCCACCACCTGGGGCCCTGAGAAAGAGAAAACGGGAGTGGGGTGGTTCGATTCCCAGGCGTATGGCTGAAGAAAGGTCTAGCCGGCTGACCGAAGGGATAATGCTGACGTTCAGGTGCACGTACCTTGTGGCTCACCTTGAGCTGGAAGAATCTCCGCCACAACACAGTGATAGAAAGGATTCTCCCCAAAACCATCTGCTCTCAGGGCTGGGGATCGGAGTTACGACAAGAGAGGCAGAAACAGGTCCTGAGCGTGTGCCAAGCCTAGAGCTACTGCGGACGGGAGCACCGGCCCTCATTTCCTCCCCAACCTCCTTCAGGCCCCAGGTGCTGAATCCCCACCTTCTTCGCTGATCTGCACCTGATCCGAAAGTTTCTCGTACTCAGCCAGCTCCTAAGGCGTGGGGGCGGAGGTTGGAGGAGGGAGCAGGGTCCCCGCCCTTGACCCCAAGGCCGCCCCTCCTCGGTGCCTCCCCACCTCAGCCCACCCATGCCCCTGCCCGCGCCTCTCTGCCTCCCTCTGGGACCCCGGCGTCCGGCGCACGCTCTTCACCCGAATCAGCCTTATTATGTCTGCACAGTCGCCCTCTTTTGCCTCCCGGATGCGCAAGGAGGCCATCTGCGTCCTGGCGGGCTGAGCCCCCGTTCAGGACCCCTCACTCCTGGTCAAAGGGCAACTGGAGCCTTTCAAGGGCCTGCGAGTTCGTCGGTTGAAACCCAGTCGAGAGCCGAGCGGGAGGGCAGCCGCGGCCAGCGAGGCCGAGGGAGATTAGGGAGAGACTGACCAGGTGGGGGGCGTGGCCGGCGAGCGGGTCGCCACCGTGCGGTGGCCCCTACGCTTGACCCCGGCGGACGCACACGCGCCAGCCAATCAGCGCGCAGAGTGGGCGCAGCCCCGCCCCGGCCCCGCCCCGCCCCCGTGACTGGGTCTGGTGACTGCCTCCAGGGCAAGAAGCAATCCCGCACTACCGGTTTGGTCGGTGCTGAACTACCTCAGTCGAGGCCACACCCCCACCGCCCTATCTTTGTTCGAAATTTTTAAAAAATGAGTAAATAAGCAGCCATCTAGCTGAGAAGCAAAGAAGCCCACATGGAAGAAGCACCCCAGCTTGTGTTCACGAGGTGTCGATGGGAACAGGTATCAGGCATCAAAGAACAAAACTCACATCATTGTGAATGAGGGGGAGTGCAGATTGGGGACCCAAGACACATCTGTGGGCAACTGGACATCCCCTTACTGGGGGGCCGCGGGGAGGAGACGAGCCAGTCAGGGTACAGGGTAGCAACGATGAAACATACAACTTTCCTCTAGTTCCTAGATGCTTCCTCCCCACCCCCACCCCCTCCACCCCGGCCTATCATGATCCCAATTCTACCTTACAAATCTGCTAGACCAGAGGGTGTACACTGGTACAGATAGGAACTGAAAACACAGGGAATCCAGGGCGGATGATCCCTTCAGGACCAGTGGCGATACCAGGAGGGTGGAGGGAAGGTGGGGTAGAAAGGGGGAACTGATTACAAGGATCTACATATAACCCCCTCCCTGGGGGACAGACAACAGAAAAGTGGGTGAAGGGAGACATCGGACAGTGTAAGATATGACAAATTTATAAATTATCAAGGATTCATGTAGTAAAACAGGTCCTTTGGAAAACAGGGTGCGTAGAAACAACTGTTGTAGAGTGTTGAACGTAGCTATTTTCCTCGCTCCAAGGCTTCCAACGTGATGATACTATGGCCTCTTATTACCACCATTCCAGTATTGTTCTGTTGTCCACTAGTTGCCATCTCCACACATTCATTCATCTATCACAAGATTCATAAAGGGATCAGATCCCCGAAGCATCCCGTGGACATGCCTGCCACCATTTAATTTCAATAACTTCTTGTCCATAACCTTTTTTCAACTCGGGCAGATGAGCTTTGCTTACTGTGTTCTTCTCTGGAGGTTCAGCATTGCCTTGAAACAGAATTCGCCTCCTGCAATCTTTTCCTAAGCAATCCCACCACCTTTAACATAAGCTCATGGTCTGCTCACAAAGCTCCACCCCCTTTTTCAGGTTCACCTGTGCAGTAGTTACCTGCTTTCTTTACTCTCTCTTCTCACTTCCATCCAGCCAGACCCTGGTTGAGTCTTAAACACACACACACACACACACACACACACACACACACACACACGCCTTTCTTCTAGGCCCTTCCAGAGTTTACTCCTCTCCTTGGGGCTCCAGACCCGGGATCCAGAGAGAGTGGTTTTCTTATGGGGACACCATCCCTAAACATGACTGGCTTATGCTGGGACTTCACCAAGCCCAAGTGACAGTGGGCACTGGACCCTGTCTGGAAGTGGCACCAGGTAGGCCAGTTCTTGTCCTAAGCAGAGGGAACTCTTGAGCTGGTCCAGTGAAGGAGAATGGAACGAATTTACTGCTGTGTCCTTAGGTGTGTCGAGCCGGTTCCAACTCACAGCGACCCCATGTGCAACTGAACGGGAACACTGCCTGGTCCTGTGCCGCCCTCACAATTTAACACGGCCATCACACGTAATCCATGGGAGACCCCCCACGAAGGAGCTATTCTTGTCCCCACTTTTCAGTTATTTACTTATTAATCATTTTCTTGGGGGCTATTACAAATCGTATGACAATCCATCATTCAGTTGTATTAGGCACACTTGTACATAGGTGGCCATCAACATTTCCAAAACATTTTCTTGCTATTTGAGCCCTTGGTATCAGCTGCTCTCTTTCCCCCTCCCTCCTCACCTATCTGCCTCGTGAATCCTTAATCAATTATATATTATTGTTGTTATTTCGTGTCTTACACTGTTTATTGTCTCCCTTCACCCACAGTTCTGTTATCCGTCCCCGTGGGGGGTGGACTGTGTATCCAACCTTGCGATGGGATCCCTTTTCTCCCCCTCCCCAGCCCCACCTTCTTCCACCCCTCTCGATATCACTGCTCCCACTTCTGTTCCTGAACTTGTCCCCACTTTTCAGCTGGAGATCCTAAGCCCCAGTCTGCATTGACGTGACAGACAAGGCCTGCGTGAGTCGAAGGTGCTAGCTGACTTTTTTTCCATTTAAATGTTATTTATCTGTTGTTGTTGAGACTATACACCGCAAACAGACACCAAGTAACATTGCTTGATCACATCCAGGTTGTCATCAATGTGTTTCCACAGAGATAGTACTTAAAAGAACATAATGCTAAAAACTCAGACAACCAAACTCACTGCCATCAAGCCAACTTGGCTCATGGTGACACTACAGGACTGGGTAAAACTGTTCTTGTGTGGCTCAGAGGCTGTAATTCTTTCTGGGAGTAGAAAACCTCATCTTCTCCCACCGCAGCTACTGATGGTTTTGAACTGCTGATCATGCAGTTAGCACACTGTCTGACCTGTAATCGCTAGGCCACCAGAGCTCCTTCCCCTCACCCCAAGGTTTTTATTTTTATTTATTTATTTATTAAATCATTTTATTGGGGGCTCGTGCAACTCTTATCATAATCCATCCATCCATCCATCCATGGTATCAAGCACATTTGTACATTTGTTGCCATCATCATTCTCAAAACATTTGCTTTCTGCTTGAACCCTTGGTATCAGCGCCTCATTTTCTTACCCTTCTCTCCCCCAGGGCTTCTTTCACTAGTGAAGCTAATTTGGTTTTAAGAAGACTTCAATGCTCAAGTAGAAAGAAAATGTTTTGAGGATGATGATGGCAAAAATGTACAAATGTGCTTGACACAATGGATGGATTATGGTAAGAGTTGTACGAGGCCCCAGTACAATGATTTAAAACAAAAGAAGAAGAAGACGGCAACCTGAGTGATATTCGTGGTTTAAGTTCAAAGATGATCTCAAGATAAGAGTTTATCCTCCTTCAGGGCTCCAGAAAGACTAGAGCCCACGAAAAGTTAAACTCCTCTCCTGCATTCCCTGCTTTTGACCAGGAGCCTTCAACAGAATTTTTGATAAAAACATGCAGTAATAGTAGCTGGGGACCATCCAGCTCCCAGGCCGAAGAAACAGTTCTTCATAGCAACAATTAGTCATACATTGCACATCCTTCTCTTAGTCTGCTTCTCCTTCCAGGTGAGAGAGACCAATTGTGCTTTTGATGGCCACTTTTAAGTGTTTGAACTGCACTGCGAACTAGGAAGTAGAACAGACTCACTCAACAGGCTGTTAGGCCAATTAATGGGATATCCCATGAAACCATGGCCCTAAACTTCCAAACCAAGGGACCAAATCCTAGGAAGTGTTTGGTTGTACGGAAGGAGCCCCTCGTGGCAAAGTGGCCCTGAGTTGAGCTGTAGTCAGCAGTTCAAAACCATCCGGTGCTCCAAGGGAGAAAAGGGCTTTCTACTCCCTTTAACTGTTACAGTCTTGGAAACTCAGAGGGGCCATTCGACTCTGTCTCCCATCTGCCATATGGTCGATAGGTGCCAGCGTCTACCAGATAGCAGTGAGCCCGCTTTGTCTTCTTGAAAAGAGCCTTGGCAGTTTCTCATTCTCTCGCTCTCTGTGAATATATCTAACGACTTCTGCTAATTCAACTTCTTACAACTTATTGACAGCAAGTTCAATGATTGGCTGCTCAACTCTATCCATAATCAGTGTGATTTGTCCATCATTGTTCACCTCCTTTTCCTTCTCTGTTTTTCTGATAACCACGAATAAACTTTGGTCTCTACGTATTTGCCTTTTGTGTGTGTGTGTGTGTGTGTGTGTGTGTGTGTGTGTGTGTGTGTATGATCAAATATATGGTTCCCAAAGGGATTCTCCCAGGTTGTCTTTTCACGTTTTGTTAAGTCTTTTGACAAACAAAATGGTTTCATTTCTATGAGGTTCCATTCATTGATTTTGTCATTGGCTGTTGGTGCTTTTGTTATTGCATTATATAATCCATTGTTGAGAGCTAGCCCTGCCAGCGGTCTTCCTGCTGAATCTTCTAAGAATTTTATGAGTTGAGTTGGCCTGTTCAGGTCTATTATCCATTTTGAATTTGGTCGTGTGTATGGTGTGAGGCAAGGAAGCCTCACTTTTCCACATGTGGAAATTCAATTTCCCAGGAAACATTTATGGAAAAGACTCTTTTTCTCATGGAATGCACTTCACATCCTTGGCAAAGATCAGTTGACCACATGTGTAGGAGGGCATTTCTGGACTCCTAATTCGAGTCCATCACCAGTTGACTCTTAAAGTGCATGTTCTTTCCAGTTACACCACGCTGTCTCCGAAGAAAGCGGTGGAGGCAGAGCCCAGGGTCCCGGATCCTACAGCTCTCCTCCTTCCTGCAGGTGAAAGTGAAATTGGATGACATGGTAGTTACATCAGCTCATGTCAACTTGATAATTAAAGTGTAGGGGTGGAGTTTAGCCTGTTAATCAGGTCTCAGCTTGATGACCTCATTTGGATGCACTACCAAGATAAATGGCTCCCTGGTGGCCAGCCCCCCTCTCTCTCTCTGCTTCACCTTTCTGTTGCGGAGCTACTTAAGCCACGCTGATGGAAGCCAGAGCCCTGGAGATGTGCCCACCACCACTGGATCTACAAGACTTTGTACCCACCAGCCTGGGATCTTGCTGCATTCTGTATTATTGCATGTGGCTGCTTGGGTCTGAAGGGATTTATGGACTAGTATCACACTTATGGGTTAATATCTGACTTGATCTGGACTGGGCTGGGATGTTTTCTTCATATATAATTAGTCTTTAATATGAAGCTCTTTCTTACCCATATATGAGTGGATTTATTTCTCTAGTCCAC